ACCCCCCCTCCCCCACCCAACCGTCCCAAAACACAAACAGACGTCCAGCCCGCCCTCACGTGGGCGATTTCCTAGAGCCGACCGCGGCTATCTCCTGCCCCGCCTCCTCGCTCGTTGCGTCCCCTCCTCAGCCGGCCCCCATTGCCTCCTGGCCCGCCCCTCGGGCCGCGCCATCCGCCGCCCCGCCCGTTGCGCCGATTGTCTTCGTTGCGGCGGTAACTATGCTGCTGTCCATTGGCGCCTGGGCTGGGGAGGATGGTGGGGAATCTCTGCTGCTGCTGCTGCTGCTGGTTGTGGGGCTGGGCATTGCCGTACTGGTTCATCTGGCCGTAGTTGGCACCGTAGGCGTTGTAGCCCGGCCCATAGCCTCCATACGCCGGCTGTTGGTGGTGGGGATGGTGCTGGTGCTGGTGCTGATAGTGCTGGTGTTGCTGCTGCGCGGCATACATGTTGGCGCCCCCACCGGCGTTTGCCCCTGCCCAGCCTCCATAGCCGCCCTGGTGCTGATGCTGCATTGGCTGCTACTGCTGGTGGTGCTGGTGGTGCTGGCCGGTCATCATCGCCGCCTGCCCGTGGTGGGCAGCATAGCCACCGGCCGGCACACCTCGGTCGGTGGCCGTGTGGTGGTACTGGGTGGCTCCGGGCTGGCCCTGCTGTCCATGACCTCCCTGCTGGCGCCGTTGCGATGATGAGTGCGGTGGCTGTGCTGGTTGTGGGGGCGAGGCGAGGGCGTGAGTGGCGGGGGCGGCGGGCGGCTCGTGGCGTTGCTCTGGGGCGAACCGGGGGATGGCATCCCTCCGGCACCATAACCACCCTGCTGCTGCACACATACAACAAACGCACACGCAACACAAATTGCATTCATTCCATGGGGTGATGACATCAATCACTTTGCTGTGGTGCTCGTTTTCTTCCCCCTACTTACCTCAGACGCGGGCGGTGGCGGGCTGTTGACAAGCCCCTGCTCGTAGGGCGATGGAACATAAGGCGGGGGCGGGGGCGGCGCAGCCGCTTCCATGCCCACAGCCATCCCAACCGCCAGGCCAAACACCTGCCCACCTCCCTGGGGCGCCATCGGCATCATGATGGGAGGCTGCGTGCCGTCCCCCATGGCCGCCAACGCCAGCATGGCCTGATTAGCCGGGAGTGCCATCATGGGGAGAGGGATATGCGGGAAGAGGGCCGCATGGGGCACCGCTGGCATCATCTGCTGGGGGGGCACAAATGGCTGCACCATCACCGAGACCCCTCCCTCACCACCACCGACAGGCTGCTCCACAGCCGGAGGCGCCAACACACCCGCACCCTCACCCTGCCCCTCCCCATCCCCTCCCTCAGCAGCGCCCTGCTGCGCCTCAGCCGGGGGGAACTGCGGCGTCTCCACGGCCACGGCGATGGGTGGCAGGGGAGGGAGGGAGTGGGCCGAGTTGGGGATAGATGGAGGCACGACCGCGGGCATTGGCTGCAGCTGGGGCTGAGGAGCAACAACCGCTGCCGGGGACGCCTCACCACTGCCGGCCTGCAAGCCCTCGGCCTGCATGCCCGACTGGCCGATAGCTGCTGCAGCGTGGGAGGGGGAACCGGTCACAACATCAGCCCCTTGCTGCTGCTGCTGCTGCTGCTGTACTCCCTGGCCCTAGTGCTGTGGCTGTGGCTGTGGCTCCACTGGCTGCTGCTGCTGATCAGCCACTTGGAGGAAGTTCGGCTCACCACCGGCGTCCGCTTCCAGGCGGTGGTTGGCGGGAGGGCTGTAGTAACCCAGTCGGTCCCCACCCTCCGGCTGCATGCCGAAGTAAGCACGGAGTTGGAAGGCCTCAGGAGGCTGCCGGCCGCCGTACAGCTCGACATTCTGCCCCAACCACTGCATGGTGTCAACCATGACGGCCTCCTCGGCGGTCTCACCCTGTTGGCACGGCGGCGGCTGCATACAGAGAGAGGGAGCGATGGTTTGAGTGCTGTCGGAATCTGGTGTGGCATTGTGGATTGTCTTACTTGGTCTGTGCCTTGCTGATCTTGGTCAGTAGGAGGCTGCTCCGGATCAGGTGCCGGCGGCTCGTCAGCAGGCCGCTCGTCAGGATGCTCCTCAGCAGCGTCATCTCCAGACAACTCGGCAGCAGCATCAGGAGGCGATGGCCCGTCCTCTGTCTGCGCCTCAACACTCTGCAGACACACAGAAAGGAATACAGACACACAGAAACCGATGAAGGTGACAGACAGAGGTTCTCCCGTGGCCTGCCTCCCCTTCCGGCTCACCTCAACAACGATGATGTCCGTTTGGGTGGTGGCATGCCCCTTGCCCTTCGCCCCCTCCCTCTCCATGCCCTCCCTCGCAGCCTTGAGGCACTCGTCCCTCAGCTTGACCAGCACCGCCATCTCGTGCTCCTTCTGCGCCTTGCTCTTGACCTTCTCGGCCTCCTCCGGCAGCAACGTGTGGGGCTGCCGTGCCTCCAGCCGAGCGATGGCTTCGAGGGCTTTCCGACACTTCTTGATCGCCTTGATGACGATGCTGAAGCTGAGCTCGTGCTCCTTCAGGTACTTGTTGAGCCGCTCGTCGTCCTGCCGGGCTGACTGCCCCTCTCCGTTGTCCTTGGGTGTGTCGGGGTCCTGGGGCGTCTCCTGGGGCGGGGTGTTGACATCCGCCGGCGTCGCGTCGTGGTCGAGGCCCGCCTCGTCCTCGGCAGCTTGCTCATTGCTCGGTGGAAGGGCGACGGCATCGGTTCCGGCGGGCTGGGCGGCGTCGGCGTTGGCTGTGGGCGATGCGTTGGGGGACGACGAATGGGAGGTGTGAGATGGGTGGTTGGCGGGGGAAGCGGCCGGGGAGGCCTGGGGCTTGTTCTGAAGGTCACAGAGGCCGCATGGAGAGGGAAACCAGTGACGTGTGGATGGTCAGAATTTGATTGACGGTATGATAATCATCACGTGCGTTTCTCACCTTCTTGTTCTTCTTGTGCCTTTTCATAGTTGATGTCTTGGCAAGGACAAAGTAAGTCTGTGGTCAACGTCAGACCTCCGCCGTTGAAAGCTTGCATACGGGTGATATGTTGGGATTTGCCATGTGTTTTACGAGTCATAGCGCTCTACGTACTGTTTTGGCACACTTGAGCGTTGACTGACTTTGCTGCCTGTTTCCTGCCTCTGCCTTCATGTAAGTGGGT